TCTCTCTCTCTCTCTCTCTCTCTCTCTCTCTCTCTCTCTCTCTCTCTCTGTGTGTGTGTGTGTGTGTGTGTGAGAGAGAGAGAGAGAGAGAGAGATGCTGATTACAAAAACCTACATACATTTTTTTTTACAATGGGGAGGAGATAAAAGATAGCAGTATTATTCAAAATAGAGCCCCAGGCAGGAGAATTAAAAAGGACCCTTAAAAGTCTTCAGGACACAGAGCCTGGGTGGATGGCAAAGCAGATGTACACAGTAATTGGTAAACAGAGTGGTAACTGTTCACATCCACACAGATTGAAACGGATACCCAACTCGGCAGTTGCTGTATTACAGACACACTCAGAGGACAGGGTGATGGCGGAGTCGGACCTCTCCCGGTGTGGCCCCCCTTGTAGCCTCTTTTCTCCCTTTCCTGGTTTGTTGTTTCTTGAAAAGACTCCCCGCCAAAGGCAAAGTTCACCGAGCTATTTAACTGCAGTTTGACAGAACTAGTGAAAACCCATTATCTGAAATGGAAAAGGCGAATAAATGACGGCCTTTCTCTGAATCCATTAGTAAGGAGAGAGGCTGGGATTTGAGGCTTTTCAGTAATTTTGAGGACTGCACTTCTGATATTTCCCTTCGGCTTCTCAGGCCCTATTTGCACAGAGCAGGCATGGTTTTGCCTGGGGCTATGGCTAAAGACTCGGAAACCACTACAGGTTCTGGGGTAGAAAGGAAGCTACCTTGGTTCCTCTGTCATGAGTGCCCCCACACCCTCTACTTGGGCTTCTTGGTTCCACCCCACCACTTTCTCCCACCGCCAGAGTCAGATCCTACATTTCTACCCACAGCTGATCAAGAAGGAAAGTGGCAGCCTTCCGAAGAAGGGGTCCATTTTGTTAGAATACTGAATTTTGAATTGACCAATTGACCATAGGAAGGGGTCCCCGAAGTTTGTTTCTGAGACTTCAGCACGCTGTAACAGACATCCCCATGCGTCCTGGCTCTCACCACATCCTCGCCAGGAGACTCTGAACCACTTCACTGGGTGCCTCCAACTGACTTCTCTAACCCAGTACCTTCCAGAAATTCCTTGAAATTTGGCACAGGAATGCCACTCTAACAAACAAACTTCCCACAGAAAGTTAAAATTAAATTGTAGCGAAGATGTTCACTTTAGCATTGCCTGCTTTGAACACCAACATGGGAGAGAGCAGCTGGGTCAACAGCAGAAGGCTGATTAAAGCTGCAGTGAACTGGCCTTATGGAAAAGGGAGGAGCAGGGAACACATTGGCCGTATGAGGAATACAGAACAGGAAAGCCAAACACCAGGCTGGATTACGCAATGGCCATAAGTATATCAGGAAGAGGCCAACAAGAAAAACATTTGTTAGGGAAAGTGGAGGATGATTTTTTTTTTTTTTTATCTCCTTAACAAACTTGCCGGCAATATGTAGGAACAGTGTGGCAATACTCACACCATGGCAATTCTGCATTAAGTTCACTTTTTATCACATGATTACATCTAGTAAAAGCCACCACTGATCTAAAGTGTTTGGCATGGGAGCTGATAGAATTGGCCCTGATCAACGCTCCAAATGCATATTTTTTTCATTGGGATACTTGATATTACCTAAGCCTTCTTAAGCCAAGAGAAAAAAAAACTATTACATATTTTAAATTTTGTTTTGGTACATAGGACACAATAGCAAGCATGTGTGCTATCAAAGGTATGGTAAATTTTCAGCTCCTGTGTACTGACAGGCACTGAGGAGGGTAGTCATTGTGTCTACACCACCCTAGCTGTGTCTTTTGACATAAATAGACACAACAATGACAACACAGTCTGACATTGTCAGGATGTGTCATTACTGACAGTGTGTACTGTCTTTCAAAATTATAAAAGGACAGAGTAAGTGTTCATTGCAAAGAGCCATTGGTCTGGTTCAAGGCCTCTGCCTTCTGCTACACTGTCAATAATGGGTTGTGGTGATATTGAGTTCCCCAATATATTGTGCACCCTAATAAACTTATCTGGGGTCAGAGAACAGAATAGCCACTAGATATAGAGGCCAGAAAATGGTGGCACGCACACCTCCTAGCATTTCAAAGGCAGAGATCTGTCTGGATCTCTGTGAGTTCAAAGCCACACTGGGAACAGCCAGGCATGGTGACACACGCCTGTAATCCCAGGAAGTGATGGCAGAAAGCAGAAAGGTATATAAGGCGTGAGGACCAGGAACTAGAGCCTGGTTAAGCTTTTAGGCTTTTAGCAGCAGTTCAGCTGAAATAAATTCGGATGAGGACTCAGAGGCTTCCAGTTTGAGGAAACAGGTCAGCTGAGGAATTGGTGAGGTGAGGTTAGCTGTGGCCTGTTCTGTCTCTCTGATCTTTCAGTGTTCACCCCAATATCTGGCTCCTGGGTTTGTTTTTATTATTAAGACCTTCTAACAATTCCTGCTACACTGGGCCCTCACTGGGAGGGACTCCTCTTGGATACCTTATCATTGCCTTGTGTCATGGAGATCCTTTGAATTTGCAGGTCAAGTCCCTTCACATACTCCAGCAGTTTGTAGATGAGGTGGATATTGGGGTGGGCTACCTCGTAGTCCTGGTTCTGGGCCTGGGTGGTAACTGGGTTAGTCAGCCCACCTCCTTTCTCTCATAGTCACCACGTAAGCAAACTCTCCAGTACTGCCCCAGCTAGCTCACCCAATATAAGCTCATTGCAATGCATACTTTAAAGATGCATTGTGCACTATACACATACTGTGTGACTCACTGGACCACACAACAGCTTCCATGCTGAGAGTTTGTTTGTTTGTTTGTTTGTTTGTTGTTTGTTTTGGTTTTTGGAGGGTTTTTTTCTAGTATTTTTTTTACTTACTTTTAAATTTTGTTTTGCTGGGGAGGTTGCAAGGGCAGAGGGAGGAAGCAAGGGAGACAGGGAGATGAATGGGATCTAAGATCAGGATACATGATGTGAAATCCACAAGTAAGCAATAAAATTTAAAAAAAAAAAGGACAGACTACCATGTGACAGTAACTTCCAGTAGAAAACAATACTCCAGGGTGTAGATGAAGCTAGTGGAGTTTCGGGAGAGAGAAGGGGCAATTACTTGAAGGAAGAAAAGGTGAACAGGAACTAACAGGCAATTCCAGCAGAGTCAGCCTGGGTCTCTCTGGCCCTTGCATTTGCATTTGAAGCCAAAGCCTTTTCTTTCCTCACAGAAACCACAGGCTTTAGAGCTCCCCAGAGGGCCTGGAGAAATCCCAGCTCTTCCACTTTAACCAAAACCTTTGCCCCACCCTGGGCATTGACCTGGGTCAGACCTGTCTGAAGATCCATTTCCTCTGCCTAAACAACCTCTTGACCCTCTGAGAAACTACATAAAGCGGAAGTACTTTACAAGCAGGAAGAGTGCTGCAAGCCTCTATTTCAGATTGCTGAGCAGAAGGGGAGGGGGGGAGGACAAAGCATGGGAACTGG